TACAGTCAGTTCCTGGTCTTGTTTTCACTGACTGTATAGAGCTTCTCCATCTTTGGCTGCAGAGCACATAGTCAAGCTGATTACTGTGTTGACCGTCTGTTGATGTCCATGTGTAGAGTCGTCTCTTGGACTGTTGGAAAAGAGTGTTTGCTATGACCATCATATTCTCTTGACAAAATTCTACCAGCCTGTGCCCTGCTTCATTTTGTACTCCATCGCCAAACTTGCCTGTTATTCTGGTTATCTTCTGGCTTCCAACTTTAGCATTCCAATCTCCCACGATGATACGAACATCATTTTTTGGTGTTATTTCTAGAAGGTGTTGTAGGCCTTCATAGAACCGGTCAACTTCAGCCTCTTCAGCACCAGTGGTTGGGGCATAGACTTGGACTACTGTGATGTTGAATGGTTTGCCTTGGATTCGAACTGAGAGCATTCTGTCATTTTGGAGACTGTAGCCCAGTACTGCTTTTCCTACTCTTTCACTGACTATGAAGGCTACTCCATTTCTTTGGGGGGATTCTTGCCCACAGTAGTATACCTAATGGTCATCTGAATTAAATTCACCCATTCCTGTCAATCGTAGTTCACTGATTCCTAAGATGTCGATCTTCAGTCTTGTCATCTCGTTTGACCGCATCCAGCTTGCCTTGATTCATGGATCTTACATTCCAGGTTCCTATGGAGTATATATCTTTACAGCATCGAACTCTCCTTTCACCACCAGATACATCCGCAACTGAGTGTCCTTTCGGCTTTGATCCAGTTGCTTCATTCTTTCTGGCGCTACTAGTACTAGCCCTCCACTCTTCCCCAGTAGCACATTGGACACCTTCCGACCTGAGGGGCTCATCTTTTGGCGTCATATATTTTTGCTTTTTGGTAAGAGAGAAATAGACCCTGAGGAAAAAAGTGGGAAAACAAAGTTTCCACCATTTTCCCCTAGTTTTTTCTCTCTGCCATTCTATCCCTAGCTAGGATTGCCCTTTCAAGACCATCTATTGAATTCTAGGCCAAGGTAAGAATCATCCAGATAAGTAGCTCATTCTACCGGTACAACATATTTCTGTAAAAACATCTATACATCATGGATTCATATGGAAACACATATATGAAGAACAACCGTATTCCAAAATTATAGCTGGTATACTGTGGAGTCCCTCTGAAAAGGAACAAACAGTTCTGCTTACCACAGCAAGTGTGTAACAAGAGAGCAGCTTTGCTCCCAGTTCTGAACCTTCAGAGTGGGCAAGAATGATCTCTGCTTCATTTTCTACTCTGAAGCTGGGGAGGTTTTTTCAGACCTTTAGCCAGTCAGGACACACTTCTGTGCACACACAGGGAGCATCTTTGCCCAACAGTGTCTCAAATAGCCTGTTCATCCAACAGACCTTTCCAAGAAAAGACCAGCTAAGGCAGTGGTGGGAGGAAAGAGTATAACTTTTGAATTTAATGTTAAGGCCGAGCCTTAACAGCAGTTCTGAGAAGAATGTTTGAAAAACCTTAGTTCAAGTAACTTGGCTAGAAAGAACCCCAGAGCAGACATATCTAAACTAAAGTGCTAGATGTGTCTATGAAGCAGGTTAACAAGGACAATGTCTTCCCTCCAATTACAGAGCCAGTGTACCTTACAATGACAACTGCTGGGTCTGGAACTGTCGTGACACAAGGTTTCCACACAAGGTTATAAACAGGCCAAATGGTGGCTGCAGCACACCATCCTGCCTGCACCATTGTCCTTGATATAACCATACACAGGTGGGGGTTTGCAAGGTTTTACCATATTGCCATAGGATTGATAATGGCCTGGAAACCAGACATAGAACGGGGCTACCAAGGCAACAGCACACTTTATCTTTCACAAGAAACCAGCTGGTTCGGCATCCAGCCCAATGCTGTCCCCAACTCCACTCATTCATGTTTTTCTGTGTTGAAATTTAAAATACTACATGTGGTAGGAGGCCAGAAGTATTGGGTGGCCTCAGAAGTCCACCAAACGTAGTGATTTTCTCACTTTGGGCAAGGGGCAGTTACCACAGATGCACTTAGTAAAGTAAAATATTGGTCAGAACTTTCATGGGACACAAGCACTTAGCAAACTCTTATTTCAAGGGTAAACTTTGTTGTATTCTTAATCTGCCCATGCTGCATAGATGCAAATATATTTCTTTTGGTGCCATGGAGAAACAGTGATCATCCCAGTGTCTAAAAAGACCTGTCAGTTATAGTGCATTAGTCATCAGTGAAGTGATCTGGCTTAGTATCTTTACTCAAACCCAAAGGGCCCATTCAAACGTAACGACAACAATTTATGGGCTAATTAACCCCATGAACTGCAAGGGTACACACAGCACATGATCCACTTCTCACTTCCAGCAGCTACCTACAAATGTGACATTTTTTAGGTGGCTATGTGACATCCTAACCCAGGCACTTGGAATTGTTCATGAGGTAAACAATTGCAGGTTAACCCATGATTTGTTCTTAATCTATCTTAAAAAGCACACATAGGACACTATCAAAAGCAGCTGGTCTCCTTGCTATTAGCATAAGATAAAGTCATGTCAAGTGCATATGCTGAGATAGGCCAAAAACACTAAGAGCAAGGCAAAGGCGGAATCTGTTCCACCAGGCATACTTAACTACTCCTTGTAACCCAGAGTTTTCAACTGCAAACCAACATTTTTCACTTCTGTTCTTGTCCTTTCTACTTCTCAGCCAACTTAATCCCTTCTCTTTTTTCCCTCTGGTTTTGGATCGCCACCCATACTCTCTTTTTCACACACAGCTGCATTAATCATGTATAGTCCTCCTTCCTTCCACTTCCTCACTGAAAGCCCATGAATAGAATCAGAAGAGTAGAGTTGGAAGCGGCTAGAGGGCCATCAGATCCAACCCCTTGTGAGTGCAATATCCCAAGTTAAACCATCCCTCTCAGGTGGTTGTCCACTTGCATCTCGAATTCCTCCAGTGTGGGAGAGCCCATGATCTCCTTCAGTGATTGGTTCTATTGTTGTACTGGTCCAACAGTCAGGAAACATTCCCTGATGTCTAGCTGGAATCTGGTGTCCTGTAACTTGGGCCCATTTTCCCATGTCCTGCACATCCATTCAGGCACAAAAGAATACAATCCTTGTCAATGCTCAGGCTGCCCTCAGTTGGCACACCAGACCCTTCAGGGCTCCTGCTGCCTCTCCTAACGCCATCACACACACATACAGGGTACCATGCTCTCTTTAACTGCCCTTCTAGTTGACTAGAAGAAAGTGGCAGGTGCCCTTTCCTGCCTTTCCCTCATTTTTCTTGGCAGCTGGTGCATTTGCGCCAAAAAATGGGACTCGGAGGAAATGAAGAAAGTAGTGGCTGCAAACCTGCACTTTGCTTTAAAGTGTTCCAACCTACTCTGGAAAGAAAATGGAAATGGGAGGTTTTATGTTTTCAATGGAAGGGCTGGGGCACTTTGGCAGGCACCATGAAAGGTGCACAGACACACATTGCCTGCCCCTGGCATAAGCAGGCCAGCAGTGCTGGATGCTGCCCATAGCTACATGTTGATAAAATGTTGATAAAGGCAGTCCTTGAGTTATGAAAAAGTTTCATTCCTGAGACGATGGAAATTCATCTTTAAGTTGAATGTGTATATAATGCTGGATCATGTACAGTCGAGCCTCAACATTCATGGGGGTTAGGAACACAGGACTCCCTGTGAAAGTCAAAAAACTGGGTAAATATCTCTACCCAGTCCCCAACTCAGTAACACCTCCTCTTTACAGCAGGGAAATGCTGGAGAGATTTCTCTCTGGATGGGTGGAAACAGGAAGGCCTGCTCTGGGAGCCACCCTCACTCCCCTTTCACTTCTTTGCTCTTTATGGTGATGATGATTTTCGCAGTAATTTTTTTTAAATAATAGGCTTTATGGCAGTTTGTTCATAAGTATGGGTTGTTTTTAACTTGGATGTTAGGGACTACCTGTATACCTGTTTGCAAAGCATACACTGTACATACATTCTCCTGTACACTGTACAGGAGAAAAAACAGATTTTAAGTACTATGCAGTTATACAAAAGATGAAAACCTGCTACCACTGGAACAGCCAGCTTTTGTTTGAAAGGATAGAACATCTTTCATGGGAGAATCAGGTCTGTCAAACAAATCATGTAAATACAGAACTGTGTTCATGCAATAGGATAGATGTTCTGCCACAGAACAAGTACCATTTTGTACTGCTAGCTGGGAATGCCAGGAGATGTAGGACTTTGCCCCATCTAAACATGCATATGATTGTTCCCCTAGAAATGTAGATCGTGCAAATTACCAGTGCTTAACTTGTTTTCCCAGTAAAAATCTGGTTTGTCTCTCAAACAGAACAGTGAAGTACAAAAGATACACACTCAATTCATTAATACGGCACAGGGAAAGAAGATATAGGGTCAAATTGAAATTTTATAGAGATAAGCAATGGAGCACATTTGCACTAGCGAATGAACTTGTCAAAGGAATGACTTATGCAGAAAATCATTTGCTATAGTCGAGAAGAAGAAAGAGAGCAGTTTCAAAAATGCAGCATCTTCTCCAACTACCCAGACTAGCTACCTGGACCCATGGAAATTCATATCTTATTCATTCTATTGCCAAACCTAGATCCTAAAGCACTGACTTAGAGAGATGCTTAGCCCAGAAATTCTTGCAGTGTTTCATGACAATCCCAAGCTGTTAAAGCAACAAAGGATGCACTGAATTTCATGACAGCCCACATCAGGAAAAATAAAGACAACTGTGGCACATTAAAGACAAACTTTTATATCACATTAAGATATATACTTAAGGTGCCACAGAATTAGTTGTTTTATGTACATGGCAGGCATGTCATGAGCAAAGATGGCTGAAGCTGGGGGCCTGGGAGGCCCCTTCTGACTCACTCTATTTCTATATTTCTATGTGAGATATGGGGCAAATTTCAGCTTACAAACAGATTTCATAGGAATTCATAAATACATACCATGTCCATTGCAATAGCAAATCCATTTCTCCCTGTTCTGGGTGGTGGTGGAAGATTTTTTCAAAATAGACTTTTCTACAATTGCACTGGGATCTTGCCTTGGTCCTTTCTTTAGAGTCCGTGAACTTTTCCGGACACTGCATACAACTATCACGACTAGAACCAGCAGCAGCAGCAGCACTATCATCCATGGCAAGTGTTCATTGATGTCAAAATGCTTGTGAGTGGTTTGTCTTGGGGATCCTCTTTTGGGGGGTTTATACGGAATGCTGGATTTTGCACTGCTACTCATTTCCAGTGCTGGCTGTATTTTAACAATGGAAGGAGTGTGTTTGTGGTAATAAATCTGCTGGTGATTTAAAGGCTTAGGATACTCCACCGCAGTCACATTGACAGGTACTATCTCATTCTTTGAGGTTCTGTTGTAAGTGTCTGTTGGCTCCACAATGTCAGCATACGTACTTGGGGGAGGAGTGGCAGCAAAGCTGGAAGCTGAAGAGTTCACACCTGGAGAATAAATACAATGTTGGAAGTAAAGATGCAAACAATGAATGCCTGAGAGCAATTAATATAATTCTAGCCATCAAGGCCGTTAAGTCTGATCAGGTATCAGAACGCAGGATCTAACCCATGTGGTCTCAGGTGGCTACTGAGAGAGCATACAAGCGTACGTTGAGATGGCAGCTGCCAGACGTGCATCCACCATCTTCCAGTAAACTGACAAAATCCACTGTCATTCAGGGGAACTGCCTGGCAGGGCAAGTTTCCTTCCTTCTGCAGCCCCCATATCTGCTTCTGGAGTGCTCAACCTTTTCAACTGGATCTGAGGGAAAGGAGGCTCTTTAGCCGAGTTTAGTCTGCTGGTGGAAAGAGACTGCTGGATACAGTCCTGATATACCAATTCTCCTCCAGAACAGAGTTCAGGCAAAACAAGTTATGCGGCTTGGAGCAGAAACAGGATGTTTGCAGTACTAACTGGCAAGTGAGATGTCACAACCTCATTCCCATTGCCTATGTATGCATATTTACACCGGTAACCGGGTGAATTTTAAATTATGCATTTATTTTTAAAAATCCATCTGACATACCTATCTCTCCCAGTGGCATGGCTGCACTTCCATCTCCACACCAGGGCTCATGGTGGCCAGGAAATTACTTGCACAGGGAGCTGAACACAGAGGAAACATACGGGGAGAAACAAACCCCACCCTGGGTGTGGCTAACCACTCCATTTACAGACAGATGATACTGCTGAAAGGCTGGTAAAAGAGGTCCAAAAGCAATATAGAGGTTTAAAAGGCATCTCTATGGAGACATTTAAAATGCAACCACAGAGGTTTGCTAATGCTTCATACCAACCTTTGGGAGGAAAAGTCGTTGACTGAAATCCACAGATGTTGTCCCTCTCTTTTGTTCCTCGTATTAGCAAAGTCAGGTTGTTTTGGGTACAGTTGGTAAACATTTTGCATCTCAACACACTGGAAGGCACATCAGAGAAAGTGCCACGGGGGCATGGTTTGCACTTGACATCTTCGGTTTCACTTCCTTTCTTTCTTACACCCCATCCAATGGGACAAACTGAATAAGGGGTGCAAGTTTTACCGTCTAGAAAGCTGCCAGATGGACAGGCGCACTCACGGTCCGTCAAAGCAGTGCAACGTATTCTCTCAACCATTGGTGGCTCACAAGGTTTTCTACACAAATGGCAGCTCTCTATACCATTTTCATGCTTTGTGAAGGTCCCGCTGGCACAATGGCTGCACTCTCTTAAGCTGGTCATTGTACAGTGCTTGGATACATAGGCTCCTGCAGGACACTTGTCACAGGTCAGCTCTATGTTAGTGGCAGGATCAAGGTGGCTGTATGTGCCAAAAGAGAGGCTTATGGCATTCTGTTCAGATGTTAACTCCGACCGAGCATCAATGGTGCCAAGAAACATAAAGCCCTGAAACACATACATAATTGTATATGAGGTACAGAGAGTAAAGCAGATCATGGCAAGCCATAAATAACCTTACCCAACTGACTAGCCAACAGGTAGAGATAATGTAATTCAGAAGATATGCTTTATCTTCCTGCCTTAGAAGCAGCCTCTGCCCATCTACCACCCAATACTGAAACAGAATGTGGTATATATGAGGTTCTTCAAAGACTGTTTGCCTCTCTCTTTACATGTTGGCATGTGTAAGTAAATGGAAGTACATGGTGAGGTACGACACTCCTGCTTCCCCACTGGAACTGAATCTGTCTTCTCTCTCGTGAGCACACAACCCCAATATAACTCTTAATAATGGTAACTGTAGTAATTCAGCATTGGGATTTACTTGAATTATCTGGCTATTTTCATTGATGAAATATATATCTCTATCACCCAAATTTCTAGACAATTTACAAAAGCCAAACACCATACCACATAACAATAAAAGCACTAAAAATGATTTCAACGGGAAAGAGAAAATGCAGAGGTCAAAAGCCTGGGAGAATAAAAAGGTTTCTGCCTGCCTGATACCCATAATAGAGCAGTGTCAGTGCCAGACAAGCCTCCTGGAGGAGGTGACTGAATATGCAAGATGCTACCGAGGAAAAGTACCTCTGCCCTGTGGCCTCCCAACTCATTCAAGATCACAAGCAGGCCTTTGCGGAAGATCTTAGTGTGTAGGCCAGAGACCATGGCTCTTCAGTGACTGAGGCCTCAAGTCAAGCTAACCTTTAAAACAAAGTATCATATCTGCAGATGACACAAAACTGGGTAGGATAGCTAATACCCTGGAAGTCAGAAAGGAGATTCAAAGTAATCTTGATAGGCTGGAGTGCTGGGCTGAAAACAACAGAATGAAATTCATTAGGGATGAATGCCAAGTTCTACACCGAGGAAAGGGGAACCGAATACACCTTTACAAGATGGGAGATACTAGGCTCAAGAAAGATCCTGGAATTGTTGTAGATCACAATGTGATGTGGCTGCAAAAAAGGCAAATGCTATATTGGGCTTCAATGATAGAAGTATAGCTTCCAAATCATGTGAGGGGGACAAAGATGATCAGGGGAATGAAAACAAACCCTTATTGGGAAAGAATGAATGAACTGGGCATGTTTAGCCTTGAGAAGATAAGACTCAGGGGGAGATATGGTAGCACTTTTCACATACTTGAAAGGCTGTCACACGGAGGAGGCCCAGGATCTCTTCTTGATCATCCCAGAGTGCAGGACATGGAATAATGGTCCAAAGTTATAGGAAGCCAGATTCTGGCTGGACATTAGGAAGCACTTCCTGACTGTTGGAGCAATACGGCAATGGGACCAATCACTGAGGAAGGTCATGGGCTCTCCCACACTGGAGGCATTCAAGATGCAGCTGGACAGCACCGAGGAGGGGCTCAACTTGATGGCTTTGCAAGCTCCTTCCAACTCTACTATGACATGTCAGCAGGCACACCAACCTCAGCTGGTAGGAGGTTCTCTGCCACTGAAGCCCCTTAAGCCTTCAGCAAACTGACATGGAACAAAACCCCCCGACTGTGGACTCCTTTAATTATTTGGCTATGCACTCCTTTGGAGGAAGTATAACCACCTCCTTGGATCGATGCCTGTGAATACAGCAGCACCCATGAACAACCTCGTCTTTGCTTCCTATATGCTCATTTCCATGCTGAGATGGAATCTATTTCAGTGATATAACTGTATTTTCTCACATACTTTCTAGGCAAATGGACCTGAAAAACATTAATTACAGCTATGACACAACCACACATACCTAATATTGTATTTGCAATTAGCACACACACATTTTTACTAATTAACTTTTAAAATGGCACATTTTCCCTGGAAAAATAATGCACTTAAATTTTTTTCCAGCCCATATTGCTTCCAAGTACAGAAATGTCCCGGTTATCTTTATGTCCTACATCGTGGTTGTTAGGTGTTTTCACGTCGTCTCTATCTTAGAGCAATCCTATGAATGCAAGCCCTCCAAAACATTGTGCTCTTGACAAAACAAAGTATTTTCTGTTTTGGGACTTCCTGAGCAGCATTCACTATGGCTTAAACGATGCACCACCTTAATATTTGCTAATATTGTTTTGGTCCAACAAGGGTCATTGATGAACTGCGTATGTATTAATGCTGGTTTAAGGCAGTTGAATCAGTGGATTTAACTGTAATCAGTAAAGATGACTAGTATAGAGAGGTGCTTTATCATCATCATATTGCATTCATATCCGGCCTTTTCACCTCTTGCAAGGAGCCCAGTGCAGTGTATGCAGACCTCCTCCATTCAGTTTTATCTTCCTGTGACGTGGCTGAGGTTGAGAGTGAGTACCTGGCCCAAAGTCACCAGTGAGCTTCATGGCTGAGGAGGAACTAGAACCCAGTCCAGAACCCACTCTAATCACCACACCGGCTCTCCAGCTATTTAATAAGGTGGTGTGTGTATGTGTTGGGTTGCCTATTTATAATTGTGTTTATTACTTTTGTACTGAATACATATATGGATTTTGTTACAATGGTGACTTATTTTAATTATGCATTAGTGTTGCATAATTGCTATGGCTTCTTTTTTCTTTGCGCATAATGTAAATTGGATGAACTAGTTTATAAAAACAAACAAACATGAAACAAATCAGCCAACGTCATTAAGTAAGTACTTGTCCGGGACTGCTTTATTAAAGTTATATTCAGCTAATCAATAGTCCAGCAGGACTTTCTAAGTGGACACTTTGTGCCTCTGACTGGAGATGCCCCTGTCGCAGGTTTTCTGACTCTGCAGATACCTGCAATTATAGCAAGCAGACACAGCAGCACAACAATCCAGCAGACTGCTGCCTGGTTCGCCCCCATGGGATGCTGGCCTTTGCTCACAACAGGTTCAGTATTTAGAAATAATGACAGCCTGCTATCTTTCAAAGAGCATTCTTAGCCCTATGGGATAACTGACCAGTCAACTGACCAACCTCCTGCTGGATCACTGCAACGTATTGAAATGGTTCAGAAACTTCCTTTAGTCAAAAGAAAAGCTACCAGCCTATTAGCTGGTACTGGTCAATAAAGTCATGGGGTGCGACTGTTATACCAGATGCACTGGCTTCTAGACCATTTCCAGGCCAGATTCAAAATGTTGCAAAATGTAAAGCAAAAGACCTGAAGCAACCTATGAACAGCATATCTAAAGGAAATCTCTCATATATACATGCCCAGATCCTTAGGTCATATTTGACAGTGATGTGAATTTTTTGGAAAAATCTTAACTGGGAAATTATTTGGAACATTTCCAATTATAATCAATCTGCATGGGGGCATTTCCATAAGAAACTTTTCAGTTTGCATCAGAAAATGTTTCGATGCTCCACAGCAGCAGTGGGCAACTTCTGGCCTTTCAGATGTGCGGGCCTCTAACTCCCACCCTCCATCACTGAGTACAGTGCTGGCCACAGTTCATGGGAGCTGCAGGCTGAAGTCACAAGAGGAGCTGCCCCCACCTGTCCTAGAGAAACTTAATTGTGTGTGCTTAATTTACTTGCATTTAGCAAATACAGTGAAGAAAAAGTGCCCCATGTTCACTTTTTGTCCCAGCACACCACAACTTTAATGTTAAACACCTGTGCTGTACCCGAAGGTATATACTAAATCTGATTTAAGGTTTTTATTAAGTAGGCATTTTTAATCAGAATACTTGTGAAAATTTAAAGACAACAGCATGTCTTCCCTTACATTGTTTATATTCAAGGGAAAAACCAAAGGTACTCAATACTGTAGACACAAAAATTGAGTTTACCAACCCAAAGAACTGTACATGATATACTGAGAAGCATTCATCTCAACGTTTAACTCTGCACTGAACATCAAATTCCCATGGCACACCACATTTAGCTGTTACAAAGGGAATTAAATGTGCACACTCTGCAAATGAAAAACAAACTTCATCCTGTTCTTGAGAAATGTACAGCTCCATAGCAACAGCACATCTAAGCAACTATGTCACTACCACCTCTGCCCGTTCCTAGAGATTCTGCTGCAGAATCCCCAAGTTAACAACACACACCATCTAGGCCCACTGCAGATGCAATGCTGCAGTTCTCTTGACAGCTGGCTAGAGACAGAAGTGTTGGGCACTTGTTTTGCCAATATTAACCCTTTGCACAGAGATGGCACCCTGGGCAAATGTGGGAGAGGCTCCTGTCTTCACTACCACAGAGACACCTCCAGCTGCAGATAACAGTACTGAGCTACAGCACCAATGTACCAAGTCAGCCTCCTACCTTCTCTTCAAGGTTGGTACTGAGGCAATGCAGGAAAGAAGAGGAAGAGGAGAAAACACCATGAGAGAAGGGAGGAGGCAGCTTGCCAACCTACTTCCCGTATCTTAATCATGGCCAAGAGTTCAAAAGCATTATGTCTTTGCCAGCACATATTTTAATTTAAGGAACTGCTGCCACAGGGCCCAACTCTTAGCAATTGCAAGTATGCTTTTGATGGTAAGCTACCAAAGAGACTGTGGTATTTATTAATGACAAGAGCTTAACCTCTAACCCTAAGAACCCTTACTTAACCTCTAAGAGCTTAACCTCTAACCCTAGGAACACTCAGTTCATATACCATCTCAGTCATCCTTGCAACGACTCTTTAATGTAAATCAGTACTATTATAATCTTCAAAGTGGAAAACAGTGGATGAGGCAATGCCTTCGCTAATGCTGCCTAGTGAATTCCTGTCAGAGGTGAGAATTGAAATAGAGTCTTTAAACCTGACATGTCCAAAGGTATGAGCCTGTTGTAGTGAATGCACATAGAGTTCTGCAGCACCTTAAAGACTAACAAATGCACTCTGTAATAACATTTTGGGTGTACCCACTTGATCATATGGATTTAGTGATATCCTCAGTTGGCACTGGCAGGGAACAAGGAAAGATACAATGGACTATGGTGTTAAATGACAATGGAATACTAGAAATTCTGTGGAAATCCAATTAAAATGTAAATGGAAGCAAATAAGCACAGCAGCATCCTAACAATAACTGGCAACAGTAATGCCAGGATAAATGTTAATACCTGAAGGAAATCCTTGCCTCTATACATGTCAAACAAGTAGAATCACATTTTATTGCCAATTACAATTCAACTATTTCATGTAAGAACCTTCTTTTAAAAGGCCTTTCTTAGAGGATGGCAAATCCCCACAGCCCGTAGCAAGGATAAACTCAGGAGTGGCAAAATAGGGAAAACAGACCATGTACCCTTGAACTCCTGGGAGGAAAGGTGAGAATATAAAGTTAATAAATAAAGAATACACTGAAGTGTCTGACATCTGGACTCCCACATATTTGATGGAACACTCTAGGAAAGTGATTAGCAAATAATTTTTAATGGCCATTTTCTGAACTGAGCAAGGGCATGGGTAAGGAGCTCTTTAACCTGCTCTTTCCTGGTGTAAACAGCAACACTGGCTTTAGCAGAGCCTTTCCCTTTAGAAACCTCAGCTTTTCACCATTTTTGCTTGTGTGTCTTTGCTCATGCATAAGAGGGAGGTACATTAGGATTCATAGCACTGCTCCTGCTGCTACCCATGCTATGGCGATAGGATTAAGGAGACCTTTGCTTTTGTTTCCATCTCGTATAAACCCGATGAGGTGCATAATAATTTGGAGGTCCTTGAATTCAGCACAGAAAGGAACCCTTCTGAGGCTGCAGCTGGCATTCAGCTACCTAAGCTTAGGTTTGCATGTTTGGATGAGGGAAGGGGGCAGAACACAAATGCATTCCAGTCCTCCAACAGAGAATTACTACATATTCCTGAACTCATCTTAGAAAACACAAAAGAAAAGAGTGTCTGCCCTGAAATGGGGAGGGGTTCAGTGCTAACAGCTCGATCCGGAAAATGGTGATTCACACCCTTTGCTGTTGCAGCAACAACGCTGGTCCATGACTTAGCAACTAAACCAAACCTCCACATTACCCTTCCCAAACATGGTGCCCTCCAGATGCGTTGTAAAGCTGCATCTGTAAGCCCCAGACTGCGGGGGCACTGGCGATATGAAGGGCTGGTGTATATCAACACACCCGGAGCCCCCTCAACAGATCTAGAAGCTCGACAACAGCAGCAGCTTCTCCCAGCAAAACGGGAAGCGGAGCCAAGGAGCAGCCTACTGACTTCGCTTTGCCTATGAATTACGTTGCTCAGTAAGATGCTCAGCGAGGCTCCGCTGAGCCGCGACGCGCCCCGGATAAGTCCCTAAGTTTGCTTTCAAATACCAATTTATGTTGTTCATGGCCGCCTCTGAGCACGTGCAGACTGAATTCCTGTCACCACAGTATCAGGACAGACCAGAGCCTAGGCGCGTTCCATATTAGGCATCCTTGCGGCTCTAAACACAAAGATGGTTGGTACGGCTCTGCAAGGCTCAGCTTCCCAAGCCGCGGCACTGCGGAGAGCCTCGATTCCAGACAGTCCGCCCGCTCCCCCCCATCCCCCACTAAATCATTTACCCGCTTGCCGCAAGAGGGGAACGGGCAGAACCGCTCCTCACCAGCCGCGCTGCCCCGGCCTCCCCCGTCCGCCCCTCCTGCCGGCACTCGGCAACTCACCACAAGAAGGCTGGAGACGATCGCGGCTCCTCGGAGGGGACTGGGGAAGGCGGCGGCGGCGGCGGCGGCAGCTGCAACAGCCCCAGCTGCTTTGGCCGCAAAGGCCCCCATGGCTGGCGCTGGGCGCGGGGGGGATGCTCTCTGCGCGCTCGGAGGCCGCTACACAGCCATGGAGGCCGGGAGCGGAGACGGTCGTGCCTTGCCCGCCGCCAGAAGAGCTGCCCATCTAGCAGCGCCGCGGCCCCATTGCCGAGCGGAGGGCGGCGAACGAAGCGGGAGCGGCACAGGGCAGGCGAGGCTGGAGGGACGCCGGGGCAGGCTCAGCAGAAGGCAGCCCGGGGTCGCGCGGGGCTCCGGGGCCAGCCTTCCCGCGCCTGAACGGTGGGAGCCAAGCGGCGGGCGAGGAGGGGCGGGCTCCACAGGAGGAACGGCCGGCTTCCCATAGCGACTAGGGGCGGCAGGATGCTTCCTGCCACCTACCTCGCGCTCCGGCGGCTTCAGACTGACCAGAAAAAGCGGGCGAGCCGCTGCGCCCAGGCGGAGCCGGTGGGCGGTGAGAAGGGCGGCCGCAGAGCACGTGGGCCGGGAGGAGAGGGCGTGGCTCCCCTTTGTTGCATCACGTCACAGGAAAGGCTGCCCGCCTCCTGCTCGGGGCCGCGGGGGAAGCTGCCGCCGTGATCGAAGCTCCCGCCGGATTTACATGTAGGCTAAGCAGGCTGCGGCGCAGGGCCTCGGCCTCCTGCCTTTTTTGAAAATTACCATCAGTTTTATTTCATTTGGAAAGATAAAAATCAGGGGCGTAGCTAGGCGAAATATCATTTCCTAGACTAAAACGGATAAAAAAAAGGTCATCTTGGTCGACAGTGTCCCAAGATCACTTGTCTGATCTAAGCATTCTCTGCATCGAAAATGATAAACTGTGACTTACTGAAGTTAAATATAATTGGTAAGTTTGCATCCAAAGAAGCTGGAAAAAACTGTTCTGACTTTGTATACAGTGCAATGTTATAGCATTGTTATGATTCCCCTGTTAATTTTCTATGTGAACGTATACATAATTCCATACTTTTGTAAACTTATTAAAGGTTATACATTAATAATCTTTTTATCAATGCTACAATTTCAACAACGTTCTACTTTCACTGAGTAGATGAATAAGAGACCCAGGTTTTGTTTCTCATGATCAGATGCTATTAAGTTTGGGTCTCCTAAGGTCTCCTAGCCCAGGGCCTCCACTTTCTTTACTCTGGGACTGCTCAAAGGAAGGGAAAATACAAGACCTTCCCAATGCCAGCTAGGCAGTTGTCATGTTTGTGAACCAGCCCTCACAGGGAGCTCCAGGCAGGATGCTTAGACTGAGCCTCATATGTGCTGAACCTCATGGGAAGTGTTCAAAAGCCTTCAGGGCACGAATGCTCTTCCGCTCTTCAACCCTTATACAGCACCCTTGTTCAATTGGAGGCATTCCTATGACACATTGCTTGCCCTTCATTCAAGGAGCATTCATAATTTCCCATTAGCCCTATGAATAAGGCATTATTCACAATAACCTTGTGAATAGGTTGTTCTAAAAGTAATTGACCCAAAGTCACCCTGTGAGTTTCCTGGTTCTACAGTACCAAGATTTTAACCCAGGCATGGCCTCAGTGCTGCATCTAGTATACAACACAAATTCTTTTGACATGAAATGCATTTTACACTTGTCTAGCTTTTTAAGTCTTTGCAACAAGCTACTGATGAAGGATAATAATGCATCAGTGGGGCAAGAATCTAAAGGAGTTTTTACAGGAGGGGAAAAATGTACTATATACCATTTTATTTATACACATATTTATAAGCCACCTATAACTGCTGAGGCCATTTTGTAGTAGTAATTTGCATGCTCCTACAACACACTCAGGCATTTACCTTCTCTGAGCACTTTGTTGCTTAGCATCACATCCCATGAGATTTAGAAGCCTAAAAAGAGTAGTAGAGAATCCTGGGAATTAAACAAGCACAAATGCAAAAACGGGTTATGCTGAAGAAACATAATGAACTCCAACAAAACACACCTAGGAATAAGAAGAAACCCCAAATATGCAAACACAGTCTTAAGAATACAGTGGTACCTCGGCTTACGAACGCCTTGGTTCACAAACAAATAGGGTCACAAACAAAAATTTCTGAAAAATTTTCACTTGAGTCGCGAACACCACTTTGGTTGGCGACCAAGATAGCAGCCATCTCCCCCCGCCCCCCAAGTAGGGAGATGGCCACGATCCCAGTTCCATTCGTGCAGGGAAGGTGTGCCTGATCAGAGGCACGCTGCTGCAGGAAAGACAGGAGCAGCAAAGCAGAGCTGCGGGGGAGACGGCCGAGATTCTGCCTGTCTTTCCTGCAGGAGCGCGCCTCTGATCAGGCACCTCTTCCCTGCACAAACAGATTGCGGCCATCTCCCCACCCCCCCCGAGTGGGGAGATGGCCACGATCCCAGTTGCTTTCGTGCAGGGAAGGCATGCTGCTGCAGGAAAGGAGCAGCAAAGCGGAGCAACGGGGGAGATGGCCGAGATTGCGCCTGTCTTTCCTGCAGGAGCACGCCTCTGATCAGGCACCTCTTCCCTGCACGAACGAAACTGCAATCGCGGCCATCTCCCCACTCATGGCCACAATCATGCTGGTTGGGGGGGGTGGGAGATGGCTGAGATCGTGCCCATCTCTCCCTCTCCCAGCGTGCCATTTGCGCCCGTCTCTTCCTCCCCCAGTGTGCCCACGATCACGTCTGTCTCTCCACCCCCCCACCCCCAGCGCGCTGGGATGACAGGTGCGTGTAGGGATGACAGGCGCAATCTTGGTCGTGCTGGGGGGCGGGGAGATGGCCGCGATCTTTGTTGTCACTTTGCTTCACAATTTTGTGATTTAAAAAATGCTTACAGAACGGATTAATCTTATTTACATTAAACCTTATGGGGAAATTTAACTTGGCTCACAGCCAATTTGGGTCATGACCAGAGTCCTGGAATGGATTAAGTTTGTGACCCAGGGTACGACTTTATTGGATATTTTGTGGCATCATTGCCCTTCTCATAATATTGACAAGTTCACACAATTGCCTGGAATTTCTTTCTTCTTGGAAATGTTGCTTTGTACAGCAGCCTGCCACCTGGTGCCCTCCAAATGTTTTGGACTACAACTCCCAGCCTTCCTATACATTGGCCATGCTGGCTAAAGCTGTTGGGGATTGAAGTCTAAACTTCTGGAAGTCACAAGTTTGGGGAACATGGCTCTACAGAATAGCACTCATATCTGTGACCGTCTTTAGCAGGAGAAGGAGAAATGAGTATGCTTGATCAGAGTTTAGGGTGCTAGAGGAGTTTAGACTACTCTCTTTATTTTTCCCATTGTTAACACACTTTTTAAAAACACTAATTAACATCCTACACTGCTTGAATTTTGAACTGCTGTGATATTACTTTGAAATTGCTTTCCCCTGCTGGAACTGTACATTTTTTGTATGGTTGACCATTTTTTAAAAAGTCCTAATAGCATTAAAGATCGGGCCCACCACTTCTATACACCTGGACAGAGAGACCTTGCTTCTGAAAAATTTGCATACTGGGTATACAAAAATTTGTATACTGTTTATTATTTAAAACAATAATTTTAAAGCCACAGCTAAAACCTTCAATTCTGTCCCTGACTTCTCTCATCCCTATAATGTCTCTTGGGCCAACAACCATTACAAGGGTCAAGAGTGTGGTTAATATTTAGAAGGGGGAGGTGATATGTTGAGCTTGCAGTCTCCTCCTAGGCTCTGCTCTGTCGGCAACATGCAACAGATTCAGATATCTTCACAACAGGTTAATTTATTACTATAATATATGAGGAACACTAAGTTTTGAGGAACTGTGTGAGTTTGCATGCCACACCACAGTGGGTTATTTTTTTGTTTTTTGTTTTTTGCCATTATTGGTCTGTCATGTTATCTGAAACTAGTCATAATATCTCAGTGTGGTGTGTTTGGTCTTTAGAAACCATGTAGAGAAACTATGACTGTGTTCACACGACACAATAAGCAACCCTATGTAGTTGCCAGGGTTTGAGGGTTACCATAATCTACTTGACAGATGATCCTGTAGTTTTAATCTGTCATAGTTTCCATTCCTTCTACTCAGTCCTCCCACTGTTGGCATGTATCCCATCAACCACCTTGCCTGAAATTCAATTCCAAGGTTCATCATTTCCTGCTTATATTGCCTTCCTCTTTCTCATCAGTCCACACTGGATGTCTGGAGAGACTCCTGCAATTGCTATTCTTTCCAATGCACTCTGTGGTAGTTGGATTCCAGGACCATGAAAACCACAATCCTGGGTTCAGATAACATCACAAGCCATGGTGGTACAGTGAATCCATAGAACAGACCATTGTTTCTTATATATCATGGTGAAATACCACAACGGGGTTCAGACAACATGAAAAACCAACTATGGTAAAAAAAAAAATCCACCTTGACTTGTACTGTCTGAACCTAACCAGTGGTTTCTACGATGGCTTCTGTGTTCCATCATGGCTTCCCATGTTGCCCAAACCTAGAATCATGGTTTCCACAGTTTAGGAATACAATTACCACCGAGTTACTTGTAAAAAGCAGCAGCTGCAGGAGCTGCCCCAGCCATCCCACCTCTGCTGTCTTACTCTGCCTAGCACCAGATATACCAATGCCTGCTTAACTCCAACAAGCTGCTCTCTTTTCCCATCTCCCTCAAGCTTGACCACTTCTCTTAGATGTCCACCTGTTAGGATTGCTTTCCAGAAGCAGAGAAACACACTGTGCTGCCCAGAGCAGTGACGTTGGAGGCAACTGCATTATGTGCTCCTATCTGCCCACTGCAGTTCTCTGCCTTTGCTTTCGGACAAAAACTTCTCTCTTTAAAGCTTCCTCATCCAATGCAGGGCACATGGACAATACATGGAGCATTACAAAAAGGAGTGTCCTCCACTGTGCCTTCCTTCCTTTCCCCTCCTTGTAGGTGTGTCTGCAACGCACCTCAAGACTGTCAACCAGCCACACTGCCCCCTCCAGCCACCCCTGCATCTGCAGCACAAACATTTTCCCTGCAGCCAGCCTAGCAGCAGGCCCAGGGAGCTGTGGGCACTCACTGCCTCTGGAGTCCTGATCTCAGCAGGGCTCACTTGCACCATCCAGGATCCCAGACAGGAGGGATGCTGGGCCTGATGCTGACAGTGACCCCTCAACCCCCAAACTATGGCAGCCTCTTAACCTCCTCCTCAGGAGTACTGTCTGGAGGACGTCCCATCTGCCATGGGGGACAGCCAGAGCAGTCGAATGCATTCCTGCTTCTGGACCAGTGAAGAACTGGGCACAATCATTGACTGATGGGGCAGCACAGAGTCACAGAAGCACTTCGGGTCCACGTGCCATAAAGATCTCCTCCCATGGGGTGTCCCCTGCACTCCGGCCCTGTTCAAGGAGCAACTGCACACCCTCAAGAAGACG